GCGAAAAAGAAACAAAGAATGTAAAGAAACAAAATGCGAAAGGGGCAGCCTTTCGTATTTTGGTCGGTTTAATGTGCATCCTGTGGCTACTGCAGTACTATTATTGTATTGCTGTCGAAATTCTAGATATCTGACATGATAGAATATGCAAGCTCTAGAACATACTGGTTCGTTGGATGGTGTTTATTTTACGTTAATACAGATTTCGAACGTTTAGTTCACTGATTAAATATAATCAGTGAACTAAACGTTCGAAATAAAAAATAACATATTATGGCAATAGCCATAATATGTTATTTTTTATTTTCATATTAGTCTTAGTATAATTTGATAGGTATCACGCCTAAAAGCCGACCTTCAGTAATTGGGTAAAAGGCTAAGGCAATAAGACTAAAAGGATGGTGAAGTGAACCCAATTTGCAAACTTTCAACCATCCCTCCCATCCATTTAAGGTGTAATTTCGCGAAAATCCGTTTACACCTTGCATATGATGTGACTAACAGTATGTAGATATACCTATAATAATGACTTTGCACTATGATTACTTGTAATGTGATTAATACTGATAGAATACAGAAGGGGTATCGTCGTAGTCAATTAGAATACTTAATTCGTTTAAAACTCTAATTAAAATGTAAAAAAAAAATTTCACAAGAGGTAGACTATTAAAAAACCCGTCTGCGTAGACCTCAGTCTGAGCTACTACAGCCAATAATCAGCTTATTTTGTAAGTTGTGTGTGGTTTAAGGGTAAAAATAGACAGTAAGCTTCTCTAGTAAACTTACTGCCATTTTCACCCTTAAATCGAGGAGGTATGCCATGTTAATCCTCCGGAGTGGCAATACGTGAATGGTACCACGGACGTCACATGATAATGTGATGTCCAATCTGTTATTTATGTAGTAGTGGTAGTAGTAGTGTAGTGGTAACCGTACTTATATGAAGTACGGTTACCACTTACAATCATATGGACTGTGAGATTTTGTACTATAATAAAAAAAAGAAACATGTTGTTCCTTAGATTCAGCAGTGCATCGCAGTGCAATGAATAATGTATATAACATGCCATTTATTGAAGGCGAGCGAGCTTGCTGGATTTATTGTAGTAAGCTGATGGTTCCCGTACACTTACTTACGCGAAGATACTTACATTTGTCTAAAAAGGCCTTTGTCAACTTTAATATGTTCCTTGTCTACGTTGATTTATTCAATCGCTATTTGGCACGCTCTTTACCATAGAAATAACATTGATGTTTATTTTCCAAATCTTAATACGTGCAATAAATGTATTTATCAATCATATATGTACTTTTAACATTTATGTCTTGATTGCTTTAATTTTAATTTACATGCAATAAATATATTTAATTTAAAATTGCAAATGTTGTACACTGTTACTTTGATATATTTATATAACATTCTCATCATATAATCATATTTTCCTCAGCTATTATAATACAATGATTACATAGCTACTAAAACATAGGCGGCGGTAATTACTTATCACCTTAGCTTAGCTACAAGCTCGTTTGTCCTCTATCTCTATCTATACTATAAAAAAATACAATCATATAATTGAAAATTTTCTTTAAAAACATTCACTTCATACTTCACTTCATACCTAATACTGTAGGTATAGGTCAGATAACTAAGAATTGAAAATCGTCCTTTAAAAAAATGTATGGCAGTAATGCGTAGCAGTAATTCACATAGAAAATAAATTGCTGAATTGACAACTTCCTCCTTTTTGAAACCGTTGAAAATCCGTTGTCCGTTGTAATATTTCATATTTTTTAGGAAGCAAACATCTGTTGTCCGTAAACCGTCGCTTTAAATTGTCACATCATGAAAATACGATGACAAGGTTATAAAAAATAACAGGGCCATAAAAAACTATTGTCCCTCTCGAGAATTATAGTTCGTTGCGCGCATTTTTACTGATTCTATCCTCGTTTACGAATAGTCCGGTGAAATAATCTCAATCAAGCATTTAGTCCTTATTTATGATAATAATATAGAATAGAAATGAAAATAAACTAAAATTTAAGCACTTTTGAATTGTTATACTTATTTTACACTAAAGTTATACTTATTTTTTTAATCTATCGCTCCTTCCGAAAGCTGTTATACTATATATATACACAAGAAGAGACGATCATGAAACTTGCGTGTTGGCCTTATAAATAATTGTTGTAACTTTACATTTTTTAATTAAAATGTGTGAAAAAAAAATACAAATTACCAACTAGCACTAATTAATTAAGAGTCGAAATATTAAATACACAAGAAGATTAAGTCAGTTGTAGTATTTTATAGATTAGAGCGGACCACATATCCTTCTAAGCCTTCGTTCACGAGTATGACGAATGATTCAGCCATCACTGCGCTAGACTATATTTTAGGGAGCCCAATGTTAAAATTATTGTATAATATAAATTTCTAATTACAACTTCTTTAAAATTATCATTTTCAGCAATATTTCACTCAGTAGGTCACTTTATGTTTTAGGTGGAGTATGTTGCAGGAAGACAAATAAATACAACACAACTTTAGGACAAAATTCCAGATTCAATAATACGAAGAATCTAATTATAATTTCCATAGCAAAAGATTTCATTTGGGAGCGAAAGAACTGACTTAAAACAGGTCGTATTGGTTTTATTTAATGATATTGAAATTATGTTAAAATTATGCCCAGGAATATATTAATTTTGTTTTTATAACGTGTGCGGAATTTGGATCCATTGGAATAAATAATATCAATTCTATTGTATATTTATTCGATATTAAAAATATATTCCGACATAAAGAATAATATGTGTGTAATTTAAACATGAAAGTATCACAGTGAGTAGTAGTACATGTTTATGTACACCTACTAGTATTAAATTTATTGAGAGTTATATCAAGTCACCAAAGTAACTATACGTGTAAGAAAGTTGTTTTTTTGCTGTATTAATACTTCCAATATGCATCTATACAGAATTATCTATTAGTAATGTAAGGAGCACAATGTTATGGAAGCTGTCAATATCTTATTGGTTTCCTACAAAGTACCAATTGTATGAGACCGCTTTCAGTCATCCTAAAATGGAAAGGAAGTTGCACAGCAAAAGCCTGTCTATAACCGGCGTTTGGCATGCGTCAATATTGTTAAGGATTCCTTCATACCCATTACCTGATCTTTTTTGTAAGTATTAATAACCGTCAATTACCAATGGTTAGTTTAAGCACAGATAATATAATATTTAAGTAAAAGATTTCTTAAGTAATCAACGATATTATGTTCATAATCTTTTTATTTTTTTTTTATATATAGGTATATATAATAATAACGATGTCTTCTTTATAAACGGGGTTGGCGTTCTTTCTAAAATATATTGAAAAGCGCTTTACATATATATTATGTGCATTGTTCAGTATAAATCTAAAGTGAAAAATATAAATATAATATTCTTATTATCGTAATTACTGTTTCTTGTAGTTATTTTCTGTTATTTCTTGTGTTAGTAGTAATGTTTTCTATCTTATTGTATGTTTCATGGGTGCTTCATATTTGATAAATTTTAATTGTCGTCTGTTGATGTGTACGAGGACTAGCTTGTCTTATGCCTTGTACAATTTTTATTCAATAGTTTGTTATCACTGGTCAAATTGTGTCGAGAATGATGTTGATACTTTGAGCCAATATTTTTGTATTTAAAATTATTAAACTTTTAAATACAAAAATATATTACAATAATATTTATAACTGATATTTAAAAAAATGTAAACTGACTTTGTTGTATATAATAACTATGTTATACCCGCCTAATATGAAACTAATTCTGTAGTAAACACTATTTAAACTGTTACAATTGTTTACAAAAAAAGTTAAATATCAATGTGTACAGTAGATATATGGTGCTGAATTTTATGTATAGGTTTAATACTCTATTTATATGCAACAATGAATCTACTAATCTTTATGACATTGCTGTGTGCTGTCTTACGTGCTATAAACACGAGGGTCGTGCCGTACTTGTAAAAAAATATTAAAATCAAAGTATTCTTACAATTGACATAGGCAAAGTATTTCTTAAATATACGAATTCTATTATTGAAGTGGACGCACCCTTATACCATAGTATCGTGTTTGCTGACCTAGTTTGGGATCGTCGCGGGATCACTCGGAAGGGTTTACGGTTTCAATATTTCAATACTCTCATATATACGCCTTAATACCACATACTTCAGTACTTTTTACTGTTCTAGTAAAGAATACAGTACACACGACCTATTTCTTACTTTGACGAGATTACTTGTAGGTACCACTTTGCGTAATGTCGAGCAGCCTTCACAAGGTGCTCTAATCTGGTTCAGAGGGTTGTATCCAATTTGCCGCAGCGTTATTGTGGGGCTTCAACCGCAGCCCTCGTAATTGACACCGAAAGTAAAACCGCAACTTATGAAGCGGAAAACGTGCAATGCAAAATGCGACGCCAAATTACGACACGTCGCAACCGAGACAATTGTTGGACTATCCAATCTTCTAAGCGTTTTGTTATTATTGCCTTCAATAAAAATAACGTAATTCACCGGTTGAACGGAATGGTCTCATAGGTTTAGTTTAGAAAGTTGGCATCATGTCCATAGCGGTTACTTTAAGTTCCCTATATAGCTACCAGGCGGCCGTTTATATAAAAAGAAGGCTCTATTTAACGAGAATTGATTCGGAAAAACGCGCTCTGTGGACTGCAATGAAGATCCGGATTACTATGGCGGGGATGAAAAACAAATCTACTACGATTTACGTACCGTAAACTCGTTACGCGTTCGGTACGAGACGAGTCGGGAAACATGGGTTATTTCCTGAATTTGTATCTTGTTGTGCTAGTGAAAAGGTCTAGATTTCAAACTAGGGAGGCCCGTTAAGTGCGTCGACGGGTGGCGAGAGAGAGGCGAGCTTATACGCTGTCTATGGAGAGTTTGCAGGTTCATTCGTAGTTGGTATCGTTATCACAGTCGCTGTTCGGCGGTCGGACGGCGTGCTTGTTGTAGGGCATTATCGTTTTCTCTGAGGTTCTCTTTCGTCGACAGAAGTTTTGCGGAGATCGTGTTCCGGTATTTTATCGACGGCCTTTCCAGAATCGTGACTGATCACGAGCGCTTTATAGAAAGTGAAACTGCATGGTTAATACGTGTTAATAAGTTGTGTAAGGACAATCTTCTAACTTAGTGTTAACTTTAGTGAGTGGAACATTTTTAAGTGGTAATCTATTGACTATCCAGGACTAGTTTCGATATCAGCTCAGTTTTGAACTAAAAACTGTGTTTTGATTATTGGGACGTTGTTCAAAATTTCCTAAAACGGTAAGTTAGCATATACCTATTGGGAATTAAGCTGTTGTTCTCAGGGTTGTTACTTAGAACATAGTTTTTTCGGTTTCAATTTATACCTAAATCAGTATATTAGTTGTCATTAAAATATTTTTATTAAACGATTTCTTTCAACAGACTAAGATTCGCTAAATAGTGACTAAAAAATTCGTTCGAAATGTTTTTTAAAAATAAAATTATAATATTATTATTTACTAGCGATAAATTACATAGGTATTATATATATAGTATATATTATACAGTATGTAAATCTAGTAACTTTTCGTTGAATGTTAGTACTTAATACATATAGAATAGTATTATAAGGGAGCATCAACTTAAGTATTCATAAGATGAAAACAAAAAAGCTAATATCGTTTGCGTCGCAGTAACCCCTGTGTTAATATTATTTATAACGGAAAATTGTTATTAGGTTGGTGCTTTGCTTGCTTTATATTGTTATAAAGTATTAGAATACAGTAAAATTATTATTGGAATGTTTAAGTTAAAATTATTACGCATAATATATTTTATGGAGTTACTCACCCATAGTTGGTTCTGATTACTTAATTCCTTGCTCTCATTAACATGTGAATACATTTGCATTTGCAATATGTGTACATTGCATTTACTGTCAATTAATTGGGCACCATTAATTTGGCCGGGAGGAGATGACTGAAGCTCTAATTGAAAATTTAATTATGTAGCAGATTTAATATTGGATAAAATATAATTTTTACCTCATTATACACGCCACTTGTGTTTTGTAACTAGAGGACACTGGACTATTAACTAAATTTGGTTTGTTAGCATAGCAATTAAAGTATGTATTCACTTTAGCTTCAAATAAATACTATACGTATTACACTTACTATCCTACAAATATTTCCATAATCTATTTTAGATATATATTTATAGATAGATGTATATATTTTTCTAGCTAGACTGTTTGTACAGACTGAAGTACTAAGTACTTACAAACAGCGAGGAAGAGAATTGTCAGAAATGTGTTTTGAAAACGATGACCTTATTGTTCGCAATGTATCATGTTAGGTTGAAATCCACGCGGTCCCCTGGAAGTCATCGTGATAAATTCCTGGTGAATTTGCCGCAATGTCATCCTATCATCCTCCTCCTCTACCAACGTATACCGTTAGCATAGGCAGGTGCACCTTTCTATTACCAACTGTGAAAAAAGTACATATATATACGAAAACACACATACAGTATACAGGTATACAATATATTTTTAAATAGGTACTTACAGTATTATAAAAATGATTTACTATTTATTAACAGAATTGATTCGTTTTTTGCGATTGGTATGAATAGACTGGCTATGAGAAGAGAAATTAAAAATAATATTATTTTTTCGATGTTTGCGTTTCCAGCTGCCTTACAAACATTGTAATCATTAGTAGGTATATCTAATAATATTTTGTGTAAGTTTTTTTGTATATTAACTCATCGGATAATATAACCTGAGCTTAATTTAGGAGTTAACGCTTTATAAAGATTTTTGCACAATTATACGAGCAGTAAAGTATTGAAAAATAATACAATTATAATCATCGTCGCCATTATCAGCTGCTAGACATAGGTTTCTCCCAAGGTAAATCTTCAGTCCTGTTCTTCCATTTATAATAGGTGCATTAAGTATAAAGGTATACTGCATAGAATGTTAACACGCAATCTCAAAGACACAATCCGTAAACAAAATAATCAGAACGTGAGAGTCGTTGGATAATATCTAAATCATTTATCGATACAGCTGAACAACAACCAATTGCTATGCAACATGACTCCCGCCTACGTGATGTTCAAATCCTTATACGTTGACATACACAACTTATTATGTAATAAATAACATGATTTACGAAATCGCTAGAACAACGCTATTGCATTATTCAGTTTTAGTATTATACTCATAAAAAATAAAATATTACGAATTATTGTTGCACGAAACATTGGTGCACGCACACATATATTATACTATAATCAATGTTTGGGGCCCAATGACCCGGGTCATTGGGCTCCCTAAAATATGGTTGAGCGCAGTGATGGCTGGCTCATCCGTCATACTCGTGAACGAGTGCTGCTTGTAGGGACTGGTCTGCTCTTATCACTACGACTGATTTAATCTTATTATATATTTATATTTGACCCAAAAAAAAATAGTGCTGGTTGGTAGTTTGTATTCACACGTTTCGACTTGTAAATGTAAACTTACAAGGATTATTTAAAAGTGCAACACACAAGTTTCTTGCTCGTTCTTTTTGTGATGAGACAGCTTTCCGAACGAATGGTAGATAAAAAACAAATTGTTATGACTTCAATGACTATTCAAAAGTGCTTAAATTAAGTTTATTTGAATAAATGATTTTCTATTCTATTCTATTCTGTGAATAAAGACAAATAGATTTTATTATAATGAAATCCGTAAAGTATTTTTTTAATTTAGCAGCTTAATAATAGATTGTAAATGTAAACTTACTACTACCTACTATGGGTTCATCGTAGCAGTTTGATTGAGCGGCATTGAGCGGCTGATATATATAATTAAGAATCTATACATTTTAGTACAGTGGCCAGTTCATATACCAATAGTCAATTGATTTATTTGATGTCAAAAAATTAAATACTAAAAGATTTAGAAATATATATTATCTACTTTTTTTATAATTTCTTTGTCAGTTTTAGTATGTTACTATTATTTTTATTGTATATTAAATTTAAATAAATAATTTTTAACATATACCTGAACAAATGTAGCATAATTTTATATTGAAAAAGATAATAATTATTTGTTATGATTAGGAAATAAGGAATAAGGAAATTGTAAGCTGATGTCAATGCTCGAGGCAACCCGATTGGGAAATAAATTTATTATTCGATTTATATCCGATAAATTTATTTTTTATGTATTAAATAAGTAAATACTATGAGTTTTTATGATTAAGATTCACAATATAAAATATTTATTTTTACAGAGAATAGTTATTGGTTGTAAATTAAATGCAATCCGTTTCATAATATTTCATATACTTTGTCACGTCAAAACATTAATAACAGTATCAACACTGCTTATAAACTCTATACTGTATGTAATTTAAATAACATTAACAATTGTTAATTAATGATTTTGTAATGAAATACAAAAAAGCTTTTGTGTTCAAAATAGCTCCCATTAAACTCGCCAAAATCTGTCGAATAACATAACGTTTTTACGAATTAATATGGGATCCCACAATTAACAATAACTTTACAAAAGTGATGTGAGTGCTTCTGATAGATATCAGAATGGCCAGTGGGAGAAAAACATTATGCTACTCTTATTATACGGAATTAAATCTGAAAACAAAGCTATGTTCCGTTGTATACATAATTAATTTATGAAAATGCGTTATTCGCTCCGCTATGAAGTTAGGTTGAGTAGGTATTCACTCATAGTTTTGATCAGAGTCTTGACAGGCGGACTCGTATTTTGCTATGTGTTATATTCTAATAGATTCGTAATTAACACGTGCGTTCCTAATAGCCATGTAAGTAGTAAATTCACAAAATGTATATTATTATTGCGTGGAATTTTATATAGTGATGGATATTTATAGGTAACTATATAACAAGGGAAAAATAAATCAAAGAGTGGAGATATGGAATATTTCTTTCTTTGTTATTTACCATCAAAAATATATTTATATTCTAAACTTGTAGTAAAGTTTAGAGCTTCTGTAAATGACAGTCCTTCAATAAAACTCGTAATTTAAGAAAATAAAAAAAAAATCAAGTATTCTTTTTTATTGTCAAATTATCCATATAAATAACAATCATTATAACAATAGCACACATAAATAGTACCAATTTAGAGGCACACGATTTTTTTTGTGATTGAAAATAGTAATCATACTTTCGTAATTAAGTGCAAATTTAACTCTGCCTCTAATAAAGGTCCAGCACCTTTATAATAACAAGCGTATCGTATCAGATGGCCTGAATAGATCGACTCGTATGACTCGTCCGTTTCAATCGAGAATGATAGTCATTCGATACAAAGTTTTTTGCTCATTCCCTTTTTGCTCCACGCGCGCAATAAATAATGAGGTAGCCGGCGAGATGCGATCAATTTCTTCTTCATTGCACGTCCTCATCGATTGATATTTAATTGGGAGCATGTCATTTTTTCTAAACTATTCATGGAATGGGCTTTGCTTATCTAGGAAAATTATCTCAGTGTGAGTATAACTGTAAGCCGGTCAATGTTTTGTTTATTACTAGTCAGTTTTTAATAGACCGAAGCAAATAAAATAACTAGATTACCGTTACTATTATCAAGTTTGTGAAAAGTACCTCTTTATCTGTCTATTTTAGCCGCCAAGAAGCTCGCTTTATAATCTGTATTTCAGTAGAAATGTAAGATAAGACGATGAAATTACATCCTCCGAATGGTGTATGTATGTTATCACGAATGTCACATGTAACTTGATGTCCATTGTGTTGTTAATTTAAATAGTCGTCGGTCAGCACTTACCTTGTTTGTCATTTCAATTTCACAAAACCATGATAAAAAAATATGAATAACAAAATTACTATTTATAAAATGAAAAAAAAAACAAATTATAGATAAAATATTTAAGACTATTAATAATAGTTAAGACCTCAAAATAATGTAAATAAATCTGCAAGTAAAATTATCAATTGTAGTCAGTCGTGAAATTTTGGAATGAACTCTACAATTCTTGTGGGAATAATCCTATATTGTAATTTTATGTAACATCGATTTATATTGAAATTCGTTCTTAGATCAGAGGGTAATCTTGCAGACGGGTATTTTGGAAAAAGTCGTTTCACCGTCGCATCCTCCCTAAATGCGGCGTGACTTGGCTAGCGAAAGCGATGAGATTAATGACAGGGGTGGAACGCCTCAATGTGTCACTCTATTACACCGTTAACTGAACTATACACATAGAATGTGGTGCCTTTTGTGTCAAGTGCAA